GAAGAATTTCACATTACATTCTGGTTTGAGACTGAACGAGAAGTAGAAGAATTTGTTATCCCCTCCTTGCATAGGAACTTTTTGCGCTTTTATCAGATTGCTTGCTTAGCTTGCTTTGCTTATGATCATCAGGCATGGGTAAAACTTTACTGTGCAGGTTGTAAGCAGCCTTGGTGGGTTTATCAAAGCACTCTTAGGGACGGGCTGTGGTGTCGCAATTGTGACTTTTCCTGGCACCAAGAAACACCCCAACGAGCATTAACCGCATTAACAGGGGATAGCGTTCTTGACAGCCTTGCTAGAATTGAAAATAARGACGATTTATATCTCCGAAGCCTGGCTTGGAGAGTGCAACACATAGTAAAAAAGATACTGGCAGATAAGCGTTCTGTAATCCTAGAGACCCGTTGCAAAAAAGGGATCGATGTACCTACCTATTACCAAGTATCACCAAATCAATGGGACAATGTTTGTCGTAGGACAAAGAAAGTAACCCAATGAATATCTAATCAGTTGTTTTRSRGCAGMTATTTATGTGTTTCCACTCCAGCAGGCTCTGCAAGAAGTCCAGCTCGGTGAACAGAACCAGCCGAGGAACCTCAGCATCCCCTAAGGAGTGCTTAAAAACCATTGAAGAAACAGCAGGAGAAACTACACAAGAAGGCTGGGGTCTGATACAGCAATTGCAACTTGTGGACTTCAGCTGGGTTGCGGTTGCTGTAACAGAATTCAGTCTTGTTATTTTGCTTGCTTATTCTGCTTGCTTGTTAAGTATAAAGTTAGCAAAAATGAAAAGAGGTTGGTTAATTGGTTTTGTTATGTTAGTGTTAGAAGCACTACAGAGTAATGGGATGCTGAAAGATATAGATGTTCGACAGAACATGTGGGTTACTTGGGCAAATCGAACAAATACTAAATCCTTTTGTTTGGCTCTCGCATCGGCTTCCGATCCTTTYCAAACATGCTTGATCGGATTGCCTGGRTTTGACCGTAAGTCCTTTGCAAACTATTCCACCAAATCATGCACACCACATATGAATGAGAGCTATTGCACAGCACTATTGCTAAGTGGCTTGAATCAAACTTTACGCTGGGACCCTCAGGAGTTAAACTTAGCAGGGTCTCGTCCCCTARGGAAAAATGAGACTGGTTGCATCTATTTGGGTAATTATTRGTGGAAAACAAAAGACAAAATAACCACATTAAAGTCCAGACGTTTCGACCCTAACCATTGTGGAGAGTATCGCCCTTATGGTTGGGAGATAGGTCATATCCGAGTCTGGGCTAACAAAAGTGCAATGGCCCTCCCTGAAAATGTTTTCCTTATCTGTGGAGATCGAGCTTGGCATGGTATTCCCAGGTATGCTCATGCAGGTCCTTGTTACCTGGGAAAATTGACTCTTTTAGCTCCTAATAGAACTGCCATTGAAGCCTTAAAAAACAGTCCAGTTATAAAACGTTCCAAAAGAGACATTAAACAATT